AGACAGATATCCTCTACTGGCCTCTTCATAGGTGACCAAGATGCCTAAGCAAAAGGAAAGGAGAGCCTCCAAAGGAATGATTTGCTCCCTGGATAAAAAAGGAAAACACAGTTTTCTGGTCAGTGGGAATCAGGGTGTTTATTCAAGTTACACACTCCATCTTCACTACTTTATTTTTAAGGAGGGAGGGCACCATCCCAAGGGCTGTCTTCCCCAGCTAAGCAAATCGGAGACTGTGTGAGCTGAGCGCCAGCATTCACTAATGTGACTAGTCACCTTAAGTTCCGAGTACCATCCATAGCCACTCATGCCACCATGCCACCACCACAACGATAGGCCATATCCTCAAGCCATATGCCCAAATACACCCTTTCTTTTCATCTTTGTTGGTCAACTATTTTGCCACATCAATGAGAAGAGTAACACTAATCTAACATGTGACCAGAAAGTCAGATATCTGTCATACTTTAAAGATGTTTGCTGTTGATTTTCGATGAAGAATGCTTCAATCCTTGTTGAAACAAACATGGCTGTAAAAGTGAGTGTTGCTGTGGTCCATGAAGAGGGAGCAGGAATGACAAGCATGAGCATTAACCCTTCAGCAGGCATAGGGTGGGCAAACCCTCTCTCTCTCCTGTTCTGAGGCTGATTCCCTTCGGATTGTTTCCTTTGCTGCACACAAACTTCTTTGTCGGATGTTGTCTTTTTGTCTGGTTTTGCTTTTGTTGCCTGCACTTTTGGTGTCGCAGACAGAAATTCATTGCCCAGCCTGTATTTTATGGCGTTTTCTTCCTATGTTTTCTTCTTGGAGATCTACAGCTTCTGGTCTTCAGTTTGTCTTCAAGGCATTTTGAGTGTGTTTTTGTGCTTAGTATAGGATATAGGTCCAAATTTATTCCGTTGCATATGAATATCTAGTTTTCCCAACATCTTTCATCAAGAGGCTGTCTTTCACTCATTGTGTATTCTTGGCACTTGGGGAAACATCGATGATACATAAGAAAAACTGACAGCTTTAGGAAAAATAAAATAAATCACATAAAGTCACTCTAAATATGGACAAAGGAAGTGAGTAGGCATGGGCATTTTCCTGTAATGATAGATTGACAGGTGTCATATTAATCAAGGTCTCCAGAGGGACCAAGACAATAAGAAATACATAGATACACGTACTGATGTAGTCATATGAAAAGATTTACCAGTTGTTGGCTCATGAGACTATGGAGGAGAAGCCCCATCATAGGCTAGAGGAGGAGGGCAGTTGACAGTGTGTCTCAGGCTTGGACCAGGAGCCTCTGAGCCAACGGGAAGGAAGGACTGCTTTTGCTCTAAGATGAAATTCTGGGGCTAGAGAGATGATTCTGACTAGTTGGTTAAAAGAGCTTGCCGTACAATCATGAAAACTAAGCTCCATGTCTCAGCATGCACATAACAAGTCGGAGTCCAGCACATAACTGTTATCCTGGCTCTGAGGAGGGCAGGGATAGGATTGCTGGAGACTGCCTCCTTCCAACCTAGCCAAGGAAACATGAACCCCAGGTTCAGAGCAAGACCCTCTGTAAAAAAAAAAATTCAACGTTACAGAGGCTTTACATGCTTGCAAACATGTCCATGCAGTCTCTTGCACACACATGCACACACACACACACACACACACACACACACACACACACACACACACGAACACACAGACTGAAAGTCTGAAAATCCAGGAGATTTCTGATTCTGTTCCCAGAGTCCAAAGTCCAGACAACGTGGAATTCTGTGTCCTGAAGGAGGACATCTCCAGAAGAGAGAACAACTTCACCTGGCCTCAGCTTTTGGATTCTCTTGGGGAAACCCTCAGCTGACCCACATGGGTGAAGATGGGTTTTCCTCCATCTGTTTACTGATTCAAATGCTAGTTCTGTCACTGGCTGGGAACTGAGAGCCAAATGAAAATTATGACTTGAGGAAACATCTCTGAGAACCAATGGAGTCTCAGTCTTTGCCTGAAGAAAGATCACAAGCACTAGGTTGCTGTTATTTGGGTACATGGGTCTGGGGCCGTAAGTGGTGGGCTCCCAGAAAGAACCGTGGCTGTCTGTGCAATTCAGAGATGAAGACAGGTTCATATTCAAAATTGATGGAAAATCAACCCTGGTCCCCTGTCAGACCCCCAAATTTGGAAAGTGTACCTCTAGAGCAATGTGCTCCATTTGAGAGATAATGGTGCGGCTAGAGGACATTGGTGGAGACAAAAGTAGAAGTAAACAATGAGCTTGAATCAGAAAATATGTTTGCCTTCACTCTACACATCAGCTCCCGTATTCTGCAGGGACTGTGTCCAGGACCTTTTTTTGGAGAGCAGAATCTGCAGACACAACACTCTTATCTAAAATGACACACTGCAAATTTGCATAGAACCCACACACCCCACCACATTCCTGAAATCACTATGAGTTACATACACAGCCCAATAGAGTGTTGGTACTGGTGCTCTGGACAGAGCTGTGATTGTGACAGCATATTGTTCAGAGAGCAAATGTGTGAAAAGAGATACTTTTTGCAAAATGTGTTTTTCAGTTCATGGTTGAATCTTCATGTAAGGAAACTGGAATCAGTGGGCCAGCTGGCTTTGCTCATTCTTTGGGTTCTTTTTCCTATAAAGATTTATGTTTAAAGTGTGTGTGTATGTGTGTATGTATGTATGTCATATACATGGGCATGTGCATTGTAGTGCTAGGAACCAGACTCTGGCCCTCCAAAAGAGCAGCAAGAGTCTTAACCTTTGAGTCCTCTCTCCAACTTCTCTATTTCCTTTCTCTTAATTTACTCCCCATTCTTAGTTCTGCCCCACTGAAGCTGGTGACAGGCTCTCTGTTGCCCACGAGGGTAGCATCAACCTCATTTAAGTTGACATTTCGTGCTCTTCCTTGGCCTGACATCTGACTCTAACCTTGCCTTCTGCTTCATCTCCTCTCACATTCTCTGCATCATTCCACTACCTGTGTGTTGCGGGGGAAGCTGATTTCCTCCACACCCACATGATTTTCTTTGCAAAGAGGAAAGTTTCTGTATATCATTAACACTTAACTGGGGAGTTTTCTTCTTTCTGTGTTCTCTGATTGTGTGCAAGCCCTGGTCCACACTTTTGTATACCATAATTGTATCTCTTTTCTGCCCCCATGATCATCCCTTTCCATTGGATCACAGTTCATAATGTTCTTCCCTTGTTGCCTGCCCTTTATTTGAAAGAATTAGTCTAGCTGCTGCTGAATTTCCGTGACTGATGTGAATTAGATGTCTGTAAGTAAAAATATCTTCAATGGTTATCAAAGTTAACCCTACAAAACAATAATGGAGGGAGAGAAAGCCAAGGGATCAAGAAATGGCCATCCATGGCTGATGTATCCTGATTACCATCAAGTTCTCTCTCTATGCTGCCAAACACTTGAATGTATTATAAAGGAAAATAATTTCAAAAGCCATTATTTTATTTTCTCTCTTCATCCAAAACAGAGACAAAAGCTAGTTAGAAAAACCCAGTCAAGGGAGACCATGAGACAGGCACGACCTTGGGCAAGCCATGAGCTATGTCTAGTGAGAGTCATTTGGAGCTGGCAGAGGTACAGCTCCAGACCACAGTGGCTGTGGGTCCCAAGCACAGAGACAGTGGTGAGTATTGGGATACATGAAAGTCAGGATGGACATTTTGAATGCCAGTGACATTAACAGTCTAGCAAGACAGTATATCCTTCTATGGGGTGCAAAGTAAAAGTCAGTGTATGAAGGCACAAAAATGAGTCATGTGCAGCTTCACTGAGTTCAGGAGTGGGTTCCTCCTGGGCTCTCCCAGTTCATTGCTAAGGGAAAGCCAGATCACTACTCAATTCTTCTTTGAGTATGGTTTACTTGAGCACACGAAAGTGAATTTTTTAAATGGCCCCCTAAACTCTTATCTGCTCCATACTGTCACCAGTGAATTCTCTGCATTAGTTCTAACCCATCAGATATGGGCCCAAAGGAGGCTTTCTATAGTCTTACTTGGAGATGTCATGGTTACTCAGTCCTCACTCAGTCTTGGTAAAATTGCCTTTAGGCTGATCAAGTCCTCACTATGCCCCAATCCTAAGACATTCACACATCCTCTTCTTTAATCATTAAACACAGATCACAGGGAACTCATCCATAGCACAGAGAAGCAATGCTCCCACAGAAGCTGACATGCTCTAGCTTTCTAAATTTCAATCCCAAGCAAGAATGGGTTATGGTCATCTACACAACCTCTCAGCGGGGGCTGAAAAGGTGTCCTTGCATGCACTACTTTTCCAGAGGACCTGAGTTTGATTCCTCACACCACCATCAAACTGCTCACAAGCTATGTAACCCCAGCTGCAAAGGGATCTGGTACTTTCAGCCCCTGCAGGCATCTGCACTCATGTACACACAACCACATACACATAATTAAAAATAAAATTAAAACAAAACAAAAACCTCTCAGTAAATTCTCAGTTCCAAACAGAGTCAAATACTGGAAGGGACTGGCAAAGTTCATTGACTTACTTTATTGAAACCATGCTGTGTTTTTATATCTATCTATCTATCTATCTATCTATCTATCTATCTATCTATCTATCTATCTATCTATCTATCTATTTTGTGAATGTGATGGGCTTTATTGATGGTATTCAGAAGAGTAGGGCTCCCTCTGTCCCTCTTTCTTCTTCTGGTGATCTGGGATGAAAACTGTGAGAATAGGTGTTCAGTGTTGAGGGCTGAGTTGGGACAGGGATCCTCAAATGGCTGAGAGCCTCTTTCTTCTTGTCCTAGTCTTTCTGGGGTGGTTGGTTCAGGGCTTCTTACTCCTTAGATGCTTCACCACTCTGTTGTTATAGCTGTATTTAATATCACACAAGGAAAGGAGGTTTACAAAGCTATTGAGTACAATGTCAGCCCCAGAATCATCGTTAAAGTTTTAGGGGACAACCTGGCCCTCAGGGTGGCCCAGACTGCCCTTACTAGCTCTCTGATGGCCGCTGTACCTTTTTCTTGATGTCATTGTACTTGACAGCTTTCTCCAGTGAGCATGTAGGGTCCATAGCAGATACACTGAGGTTAGAAACATGGAAGACCATGCCAGTGTGTATCCTGGTCGGCTTTGAGATAGCATTGCCTACAGCCTTGGCAGTGCCAATAGATTCAGGTATGCTGTTCTGGGCAACCCTGCAGCCGTCATTCATAGATATCACCCCACAGCTTCCCAGAAGGGTCATCCACACAATCTTCAGGGTGGCAGTAATGGCATGGACTGAGGTCATGAGTCCTTCCACAATGCCAACGTGGTCATGAATGAGTGTGGCCATGAGGGCTGAGCATGTGATGCTTCAGGACACACTGCTGACAATCTTGAGTGAGCTGTCATACTTTGCATGGTTCACACCCATCACACACATGGTGACCTCCACAGAAGAGGCAGAGTTGATGGCCTTTTTGGATTCACTCTTAAAATAGGCCCTGGTTTTCTCCATTGTGAAGACCCCAGTGAATTTTACAACGTACTTAGCACTGGCATTATCCCATTTGATGTTGGCAGAATCTCACTCCTGGAAGATCGTGATGGCCTTAAAATATTTCAGTCTAAGCAAACCAACTCCAGGGCAAACCAATTTCATATGTAATGGCACTTTCTCTCCACATCAGCTTTCTGAACCAAACGATTGTGTATAGATGAGCACTTTCCTGTGAAATGCTTTAGATGATACTTACTAAAAATCAACAAGGTGATATGTTGTTTTTATAGTATCTCTGGTTCTTTTTTCTTTAGCCAGGATTCTAGAGCTCCCTCCCTCTGAGATCCCTTAAGCCATGCTGGAGAATTTAGATCTGACAGAGCTGTAGTGGTCCATTCCTTTAATCCCTGTGCTCAAAGGCAGAGAGGCAGGTGGATCTCTGTGAGTCTGATGTGAGGTTGATCTACAGAGCGAGTTCAGGAAAGCCAGGTTACACAGATAAACCCTGTCTCAAAAAAAAAAGTATAATAGGTGAAGGATCTGGTCACATTTCAGTTTTCAAAAGATCCATTGATTAGGAAGACAGAGAATACATTTGAACAAAACAAATCTGGAAGAGATCTTTTAAGATTGCTGTATGGTTTTAGAAGACCATTTCGTTCTTGTCAAGAGACTTTAACCCACAGAGAAGTCTGGTATCTGTCTCCTGGATGTCATCCCCTATTCTTGGAGATAATTACTGATAAAATAATTTTTGTTTGTCTCGGCTTTGGGTTATGCACAGAGAACTAAATAGTGTGGTTAGGATGGGGCCTTGGTTTCTATGATATCATCTGAGACCTGAGGATGGAATGGAGACTAAGATCTGAGGTACAATTCTCCATGTGGTAATTAGGGTGATTCTGTTGAGCTCCATAAACACTCAGAACACTACAGTGTTGTCAGCACTGCTTGTTGAATAGCATCCCACATCTTGTGCTCACAACCCTGCCAGAAAGGAGACCTGGCAGTTCCATGTTCGGAATTCCTCTGGGCTCTGCCCCGTGTACCTCTCTTCTCTCCTTGACTGGCTGTACCGTGTGACCTGTATCTGTTAATATGGCCATATCTGTCAATATACTCCCAGAGTCCTTTTGTCAGCTACAAATACAGAGTGGGACATGGACACTTTGAGTATATGAACAATGTTAGAAAATAAGGTCATTTTAGGCAATGCCTCCTAAATGTGGTGCCAGCAACGAGGCCAAGCTAGTCCTTAAAATCTGAGAGGTGGCCCCAACAAGAAGTGGGAGTGAATGAGAGTGGACATTTTCCTAAGAATTTATCAGGAGCTACAGGCAATGCTTGTGGACAGGTCGGGCAGACGAAGGAGGGTGTGGTCTACCACCGTCAGAGCACAGTCAGCCAGACTGAGCTGTTAGTTATGTAGATTGTGGTCACATTGTTTTCTAGATAACTTATCCGTGATGCCCAGAACAGTCTTGGACATTTTAGATACAAAACAAATGATGGATGAAGGGCAGTCTGAGGTCATGGGGAAACTCATGCTGAATGACCAGAGTGGGAAATGATAGTAGGCTGACAGTAGACAGTAGCGTGGCAGTTAACAGTTTGAATGCCTTTGGTTTCTAAATTCGTCCAGGAAGCTTTTTTTTTTTTTTTTAATTTGTGAATGGCTTCTGTCACTTTTGGTTTGTTACATGCATATAAAGAAGGGTTGAGGTGCTTTCTTGATAAAGAGGCTAAATGTTTTTGAATCATCAGTGCCATCAAGCTGAGCTGGAGGTATTGCTCCATTTCAAAGTCACATGAAGTCCATCTGTGTGATAGACGCCTTCTCTCAATTCTCTAACATGGAGCCCCGCGGACATCCTGAGAAAAACCTCCTTGTGTAGGGGCCAGCTTGGACCACTGACTTACTTTTCATTCATTCTTTGGTGACCATAAGTGTCATGGAACTTGGCTTATTGTATTGCTCTGGTGAGCTGTATATAGATACTTGTCAGGATTTCCTTGCTTACCGATATTTTTCTCATTCTTATACTCTTTATTCCAGCAAAATTGGAATATACAAAAGTCTCTGTGACTAAGCTTCCCCTGATCACCATTGTCACGCACACAATTATTAAGCTGAAAACAACAAGAAAGGGTAAAATTTACTTCCACCTGTTATCTGAAAGGGTTTGATGTTCACATTGTAGTTAAGAATAATAATACCGAACATACTTAATGAATACTTCTCAGGAAGGCTAAATATAGTGCCGTGTGCCAAAACATAAGGTATGCTGTAAATTCTATGCAGCTGTCAGCTACGTTCATTTTTGTTAGATGAATTCTTGGTAAGTGGCAAAAATCTACTTTTGTTACTCTGCTGAAATCCAATTTCGGGTGCTTTCCAGTTAAAAAAAATAACTTTACAGCCTTAATTCCATTTGCACTTAACAAAAATCTTATGAAATAGTGATTGTTACAAATTCTGTAAGGATAAAGTGAAGTACAGAGAGACCACATAATTTACATAAGGTAGGAAGACCTAGAGCTGACAGAAAAAGAATGGAAGTCACTTATTAAAAGTAAATTCCTGTTCACTATGGGAGTGGGGCTGTGCTCTGTATAGTTCCTGCAGAAACCTCCCTTGGCAGCTTGCCTGCTGTGCATAAAGAAGGCCAGCCTGAAGCCAGAGGTGAGCCCAAAAGCCCTTCCCAGGGTTCATTGATTTGGCTTTGGGTCACATCTGTAGAACCAAGTGGCATGATCTTGGATGTGGGCTCTGGTGCCTGCCGAGCTCTGGAGGGGTTGAGACTGAAATCAAATTCCTCATGGACTAGTCAGGTTTACATCACTGTCTTTGCAACCAGCAAACACCCTGGATATCCGAACAAAGAAGGAGAGAATGGGCTGCTGTGGATTGGAATGTTTGTCTCAGACAGTCCTTCACACAGTAGGGCAGCAGAAGCTACCCTTAATGCTCCCCTGCCCCCTTGTGCTACCCATGTGGTGCCTGCAGCAACCTATCAGGTTCTCTCCCAGTGAGACTGACTTCTGGAAAGCTGCTTGAGGGAGACAGCTCCTGTGTGACTTTCATGCAGCTTAGTTAGCACTTCACACAAGAATGACTTGTGGAAAAAACTATTCCCTTTGTCTTTGGGGACATCATTCCTAGGGGTCGGTGGAACTGAAAAAGGAAAGTCAGGAAGCAGGGCTGAGTGTTGGCATCTGAGCAGGAACAGCGCATGCGTTTCTGGATTTTGGCTTCCTTAAATGCTCCCAGAGGCCAAGGACATTGTTCAATCTAATTCAGATGCTGAAGCATCATTGAGCAAATAGCAAAGCCCATCTTGAGTGGGTTCATTACTGTTACGTCAGTTCTATTTAGTTAATGTTGCATTTTCTAAAATCGTATTTTCCATAGAGTAATTATGAGTCAAAGACAAAAGGAAGAAAATGTAAACTAATCAGTGCCCACATAGTAAGTGGCACACCTAAACAAAGGCTTACAGGCTCAGCAATGGCCAAGGCAGCAGGCTTTCCAAGAATGGGTTCTGGGTTTGTATTACTTACACTGACAGTTTCTTTCTGGGTTCCCTTCAGTCCTTAGGCAGAATTAAAGAATAGAGCTGACTGCATCTGGAGGTCTGCGTTTCTTATGGGACGGTGTTTTAGTTTCCTGGACACCAGCAACATGGTCTACCTCTGGATCGTCACCAGGGGGCTCAGCCTTCTGGAGAGCTCGGTTCCTTCACACCCCTGGAGGGTTGCTCAGGGCACACTTGCAAATGAGCCTGTCAACCCTAAGGGGAGCTGGGAGTGCTCCTGTGGTGGTTTAGTTCTGCACTGCAGACCCCGAGAGTTCTGCTCTGGCTCCTGAGTTTGTAGTTTCTTGAGTGTAGACCATCAGGGCTTTAGTCATTTCTCAGAATCATATATCAAACCAGGCTAATCCACTTGGCTGAATGGAATACTTCAGTGAAATTTTCCTGAATTCAAAAGAAATGTGCAATGACTACCTTTTCCTGGTCACTTCAATGTGCTGGGCATCTGATTGTGGGTTTCTATACACTGTTCTCCAGTACCTCTTGGAGAGGGCACCGCCATTATTGTTGAAAGCAGTTTTATTCCTTACGGAGATAAAGAAGCGAGCCCTAGCTGGAGTCTTGGAAGCAAACTTCAACGCATCCATTTCTTCTGTGCACACCTTTGGGAAGCCATCCACTTTTGGAAGCCTTTGTTATCTTCTCTGTAACATTTACCTACTTCCCAGATGGCTCTCAGGGTTGCCACCCATAACAGATTATCTGGCATCTTCAACCAGTTCAGTCCATCATCCTTGTGCCAGTTAGGCTGAGTTCAGGGAGGTGAAAAGCAGTGGGTGATGTTCCTTTCCACAAACCCCTGGGGCTCTTCTAAACAACGATAATGTTGTGTATGTTCAGCCTTAGGAGGAAAACTTGTTAGGCACACTTTTCTCGTGACCATTCAAAAAGCTTGGTTTCTGCTCATGCAGTCACTGGGAAAAGGCAGTCAGAAACAGCAAGTAAAGGTCCTGAAGACACTGGACTGGACACGCTGATTCATTTGTTATCCAGATAAGCTGAATGCTGTACGAGGACCCCAGAGGCAAACTCAGCTAGGTGTGAAGAATACATCCTACACAAAAGCTTAAAGAAAATACGTGTAAGTCTATACTCCTCTGTGGGACTGCCACTAGTGTGTGATGATCTCAGGATCTTCTCAGCTTCCTGGTATGCTGGGACTTCTGCATGGAAAACATTGGTGTAGCCATATTGCTTTTATTATGTTCCCAAGTGGCCTCTCATCCTGACAGGTGCTCCTTTCTTTATTTGATAGCATGA